TACCTCCCCCCCCCCGCTGGTGCCACCTCTGAAAACAGAAAACAAAATCCATGATTTTAACAGCAATCTATTGAGTTAGGTGTGGGAACCATGTATTAAAACATTATTATACGAACAATAACATAATATTTTTCTTTTAATTTAGTATATTTGAATATCGGCTGTGTGCTCCTCCCTAATTAAGAATTAACGAGAAACACAGTTTAGTTGGGCTATATACATTATTTAATAACATAGTTTAATACAGGGGTGGCGCCCGTCGGGGAGAAAAGGGACAATTCGGCGGGAGAAAAATTAATTATATGTATTTTTTACACATATCAGTAGATTTTCGGAGGCTTCGCCCCCTGGACCACTTTCGAAACCTTTTAATCGAAGCTCGACCACGCCCACTTTGCTTTCGTCGGGGAAATCTGACCCCACGTCGGGGGCATCGCTCCTCCCCCCGTCGAGGACTCCCCCGTCGGGCAAATCCTGGTGCCACTCGTGGTTTAATACATCTTCCCAAAACACTGAGTGTTTTGGCTGCTGTGTTTTTATAATTATTGATTAAGAGGAGTGATGACGTCAAGGAGCCAGTTGATTCCTAATGGATGTTCAGTCGGCTTAACTCACGCCATTGGTCTTGAGTACGCAGTGGTGGCGGCAGCAGGGGAATTTTCTCCTCCGTTGGTCTGGACCCCCTGTTTTACGACGAACGACTAGGTCGTCGGATCAAAAATTAAAAAATAATAATAATTTTCCTATCCAAATAACGTTATTTTTACTGCCAATCCCGAATATATTGTGGTCTAAAAGCACATTTTGGACATGTACAACAAAAATTCTTCCCGTAAACCCTAGAAGGGAGTTTTTATTTCGGGCCGTCGACCGAGGCTTCGTCGGCCCCTTGGCTCGGACCCCTCTGTCGGACATGTCGGACCGCTTGTGGGAAAATTTATGGCGCCACCGCTGAGGGAAAGGAATTTTAGTTTCTATATATTCTTTTAATTATTGAGTTGTAGGGGGAGTAGGCCTATTTCCATCGGACGGTCATTTCTAAGTTGTTACATTATACCATACATTACTGGTATATTAAATGCTTAGGAGTATACTATTTTGCCCCGTCGGGCAAATCCTGGCGCCACCCCTGTAACAGAAGCTGTATGGACCAGTACACCAGGGTAACCCCTAATTGTCTCGAAAGACCAGCATAGACAGGCTGCACACCTTAAAACTTCCCACAATCTTCAATAGACTAAAATATATTCGTGTTGAATTCGTTGCCAAGTGCCTCTTGTCAGATTTTCTCATTGATGATGCTCTGTTGCCTGTTCCAGCTGTTTCCCGTACAACTGAGAAAATTGTGTTTAGACATGCAAAGGCCCGTACAAATGCTTTTTTAACTCTGTTTTTATCGCATTCCCATGGATGTGGGATGAGATCCCTACTTCTGTTACTGATATTTTTCTTTTTGGTGATTGTGCATTTTTCTCTGCCTTGTTTTCTTTTTTATGTAACTGAACCCTGTTTGTTTCTTAGCACAGTGATTTTTTTTTAATTTTATTTATTTTTTTTTTTTTTGCTTTTTGCTTTTTGACAATCCGCCAGAATAGTCCTAGGTTTTGTGATAAACTGGAAAATATATAAATAAAATGGAAAAAAGTAAATGAAAGATGTACTGGTTTTTTTAATGCGCACATGAGCCAATGTGTACGGTTATGTGCCTACGGTTTATAGTCCTTTTTCGAGAACCACAGGCGAGCCAGTGCCGATATTATGGCTGTAGATTGCGGCGCCCCTGCCTTAACCGCTCGGCCATTCGGCTCGTGAGTCTATATTCGCTCGGCCATTCGGCTCGTGAGTCTATAATCTATATAACATACAAAAACTAATATGATATATCTATATTTTTTCCAATGTCCTTATTTACATATAATATAAAACTATACAGGATAGTTTAGCTAAGTGCCTAATAGAAATAGGCTACTCTTGAATTGGATGTTTCAGAAGGGTAGCATTCTACTCTCAATTCTGATTTTAACACACGGTCAATATGAATATTGTGGAGGCATTATATCGATAATATATATTTATTTTATTTTAATACCCAAATCAGCAAAGGAGGAGGGGTCTTTCCCCTTAGGTAATATAGCGTATCACATGTTTTGATTTCCCTCTTTCATTTCATTTAATTTATTTCTCTCAAAAAATATACAAAAGACCAGAACAACCAACAGACGCAATGAGAAACAAGATAGAGGAAAACCAAAAAGCAAACTTAATCTACTATCGAGTGGTTTTCCCAATACATATGAAAATATTACAATTATCAACAACAAAGATAAAATATAAATCATTTGTCAGAAATTAAAAAAAAATTATAGTTTAAAACTTTGTAATAACATGCAGGAATTAAGTAAAGGATTAAATACGAGTCAGATGATACTAACATGCAAAATGAAGCTTGAGAGATCTGCGGAATGAGTTTCTACGTTGTGCTGTCATAATTAAAAGAAATTAACTTTAATTTGCTATTGTACAGTATACAATAATATCCTTAAATATATATAATAATATAAAATTAACTATGTTCATAACATAATACACGACCTATGTATCAAAATAATAGGATGCCTCAGTACTTCAAAATATACCTAATTTCCTATCATATCCTTAATTACATTGTGTAATGGAACATACCGTTCTTTGTCTATACTTTTGAGTTACTGCAGTACTTTATGTTTAGTTCTGTCATAAATGATTGAGAATGTTATATATATGGTGGTGTTCGTGGTAGCAATAATAGTTAAGCATTGTGTGTTGTCATAACTGAACCTCTTGAGAATAAATAACCCTGTCTCCTGCAGGGACAGCAAGGACAAGAAAACGGTGTGTTTTTTTTTGGGGGGGGGGGGGTTTCAAATAGTATTTATGGGAAACTCCCCGTTTCTACAGATCAGGGAAAAACCTTTAACCGTTCAGTTAAATTCATGGGCGTCGATCCGTGCATGATTGAAAGTGTTTGGGTTGAGATGAATTTCAAACTATGGAAGTCTCTTACATTTTGATTCAATGTACATGTGTTCTAAATAATTGTCTTCGATTTAATGGAAATTTGCGACATCATTAATTTTTTATCATTTTATGAAGTTTCCTTGATTTGTATGTTGATTTTGACCGAAGACCTGGAAGCCCAGGCGTCCTTAGGATTTTATAGGCACTATATATATAATTGAGTTTAAGGATAACAATTATCATTTATTTCCAAAAATACAGCGGCGGATCCAGGAATTCGAAATAGGGGGCGGGGTGGGGGCATGGAGGGAGTTTCACAGATCACCCGCAGCCCCCACCATGGTTGGAGCTTAAGTAAGACAATTCATGATATGGCAACTCTAGTTGGCCGGAAATGGCACTCCCAGACGTCAATTTGAATATAATCATCTTCTTTTTTCTCCCATTCTAAAAATAATGTTTAAATCTGTCACTAATATATTCATCATAAAAAGTGTTTCAATTATCCTGGTATCATAGCTAGCTAAGACAGGAAGAGACAGAGAAGCAAGTTTTCTTTTTCATTTTTAACAATTTAGGGGGGCCCAGGCCGGTTGGACCCCTCCCCTTCCCCCAAACTGGCCCTTTAGAATATGCCTCAGTAGCATGGAACCTTTATACAGCCAAGAATGTAAATGAATTAGAGAAAGTCCAAAACGCTGCTGCAAGATTCATTACCAATACCTACGGGAAGGAGGCACAAGTGTTACGGCTATGAAAGACTCACTTGGATGGATCCCTGTCGTCGAAGAAAAAGCAGACTTAAATACTTTTATAAAACGCTGAACGGGACCCTTGATTTTGATTACACAAAATACATTGCACCCAAGCCAACTAGACCGGAAGAGCACATGACAAACAATGTCAAAGTCACCAAACCAGAACAGATATGTTTACGCCAACTCATTTTTCCCTAGGACAACCAAAGACTGAGCTGATGTTCCTTCTCCCTTTAAGATGTGGGTAGGGGTGTATCCCCCGGTCCCAACCGAGTTACTGTCCCAACCAAGTTACATTCTTGATATCTTCATGATCTAGACTCATGAAAATAGTTTGGACATTTTATTGAACATTACTTTTTAAGCGTTGAACTTTGGGCATCGTTATCATGGAAAATTGATCATATGTACTTATTCAGAGCAGCTGCCTCCTTCCATTACTTGGGTGTGTTTACAACATTAACAAAGATGTGATTATGCAGAAGTATAGGACATATGGAGTTTAGGCATGCATATTATAAGCCTATCAGAAATACGATGGATAAAGGTAAAATTATTTTACAGTAATTGCTAGCATTCATAGATGCGACTGATGTCACCATATTTTTGAAGAATGAATCGCAAGGAATTCGCCTTACGTTGTAAACGCATACTTACACATAACATTTGTGTGTGTTTGTGTTGTAATGTTGCACATTGCCTCGTTGGACAAGATTTAAATAGACCTCCTGTAAACATTGAACGGTCGTCGAACCAAAATTAGCAGGAGATTTAAAGTTCAGTGACAAGGCCTAAATGCTGCTAACTGTAGCACAGTTTGTATGTATCATTCGAGGGTAAGTTGTTGTGGAACAAATTGTCATATGAAATTAAGATAGATGTGTGTTTTAAGTACTTAATGTGTACTTAACAGTAATAGAAATATCTTGGAATAATTTCATCTGGATCCATAAATATAATTATATCGTTTGTGTTTTTTTTTTTTTTTTATTGGATCAACAAATATAAAAGTCTATGATAGTAATAGAAATATTTTTAACTTTTGTTGTGTGCTTTTTCATTATCTCAAAATCCAACAGGTTGAATTTAATTGCATTGAAATGAGGTATTGTATTTTATGTATCCTATCTCCCTTTTCCAATACTTTTTGTTGTGTATATTTTAAGAATAGGCCTGATGGAAGCACCTTAAAGATGAAAGCGGCCATTAGTGTCACAAAATGAAAAAAGAAAAAAAAAAGAAGCTATTGTAGAGAAACATGTTGATGGCCTGTTTGAAAATTATTGAATATCTGGTGTAGGCGAAAAACAGGAAGATGGAAGCTGGTTCCAAAGACGGGATGTTAAAGGAATAAATATGATTGCATGTGCAGAGAGGTTTTAGACCGGGCAATGTGAAGACGATGTTGATGTCCACTAACAGCACTTCTGGTAGCTCTGGTAAATGGCTGCTTATGAGGAATAATAGTAGCAATCTCTAGTAAAGGCTGCAAAAAAGGATCTCTATAGAGCACAAACAGAGCAGCTACATTTCTTCGATGGATTAATTGCATAATGTTGTAAATGCATTGGATCCGGGGGCTTTGAATTGCACTCGATCAAGCAACTTCAACACAGATTTCCCTGCGCCAGACAGGACAACAATACTCCAATACTGGACGGATGAATGCTTTGTATGTTGTAGTTCTAGCTTGATGTGCAAGTAAGGATTTTGATCGACTCAGTACATATAGCTTTCTATCTTGTGTTTGCAAAACAAGATTGGTCTAGATATACTGTCACGTTTTCTTGTAAGCAAACTATTAATGACAAGAACCAGAAAGCAAAACGAAACTATTAAATTGTTTCTTAATAGGCCTATATCCGTTTTGAAAATCCATTTATGAAGATAACAATACAACAATTTAAGTCTACTTCACTTACCGTTTGTAACCGGAGTCGAAGAAGCTGATGAGTACATAATACCTACACCAAGGCAGAAGTACAAATACTGAGCACATTTCATGATTGTTCCGTGTTTCTGTTGCCTTTCAACTTTAGAAAAACAATAACTAGTTGTCATAGAATTAGAAGTAGTATAAAATAAAACTGGTTACCTCGTAGAATTAATCGGGGTGTCTGTGCGTTCAGTTGTTTCTTGATTCAACGCACGGTATATGCACTTCTTAGGAAATGAGTCGTGCGGATGTTGGAGTCGCTTTATATAGTTCCACCCACAATACGACATTTACTCTAATGACATATGGTACGGTACTAGGATGTGACGATCGTAGCGAACTCGATCACGAGGAACAAGTGACTATTTCAGAGGCTCATCTACACTACATAATATAAAATGAAAATCGGATAATAAATCAATTGTAAAAGCAGTCAATAGAGGTAATTATGAGAAAGCACGTATGCGATTTAGTGAGGGCATCCGATACGGTTGGTATTAGTCCGTTGATGTTTACGATGAAATCGAAGACGACACGTGTGTTAGACCGATTAAAAACTGAACTAACGAATATATGAAAAGAAAAAAAATATACCACGTCACAATGTATGATCATGTTATTTTTTTAAGAATCGCAATAACTTTGAGATTTTCGTTAAAACAACGAGGCTGTAATCTATAAAAGTGTTATTACTTGAAGTATTCAATAGTTTCCAAAAACGAGATGCGTACGTAACGCATTGACGCAAAACAAAGTTTACCGGGGACAAACCTTGGTATCATACCGTTTGATTTATTCCATTATCGTTCATACATGGTAAAACAGAATTAACTTAAAGTTCAACATTACAGTTCTGACAAAAATATTCATTTTGTGATGCATTTCTGATTTAACTGGATATCTAATTAACTTTGCTTTAAGATAAACACAACCGAGTTGCTGTTGACCCTTGTTTGTAAGAAATAATTATTGGAAGCATTAAGTTACTGAGACTGCTATCATATCAAAGAAGTGTTCTTTAATCCCGAACCAACAACAAATTATGCCAAAGTATGTATTATTAAATCTACCTTCGACTGCAGCCTGTTGAGTTAATCAAATGTCCATTAGGTAGGTCACTGCTGTAAACATTGTATATATATATATAATTATATATATATCTTAACTTTAAAACTATTATTGGATGGCCATCAATTCAGGTGTAAGTGGTCAGCACTATCGCCACTGCACTGCAATAATCATCGGTGCATTCTCTGTTGACGTCTAACCATCTTGTAGACTGACTAAATTAGAATGACTGAGTGTCATGGTGATTGAAAGATGGCCATAAAAGTACGGTTTACACGAAATTTCGTGGAAATACATTTAGAGGGAAATTTTGTTCATGATCTTTTTTTCTTTTTTTAATTTTCAATATCAAATATTTATTCAAGGCCATAAACTTAGAGGAAAAGAGAAGACACATTTTCATTCAAAAATTAACAATTGTGACCTGCTACCACGAAATGGCTGTAAACTCGTACCTAGTCAAAAATTAGATTTTGCTATAGTCTTATAGAACACATTACGAGATTCAAAATGGTGATTAAACCATTTCAATCGGAAATCTGGAAGCAATTCTACGGCCATTTGAATAATTACTAACTTCCAGAAATAAACATTTGAGGTTTTGAGAAAAAGGCTAATGAAATTAACCATACATGTACTTAAATTTGAAGGATATTGCAAGTGTATACCAATAATATACCTTAGCAACCAGTACTTCTTGTAGGCCTACCAAAACCAACTTTTGCACAGACGTTGTGCAAAGGTAGAGGAACAAGTACTAAATATTTCAAAGTCATACCCCCCATGGGAGGGGAATGGCAGCCATTTTAAAATGACGTCATATTATAACTATACAAAATGGATATTATTGTCTCATGTGGTTTTTTGAACTATAGCTGTCCTCTTAGAAAACCCTAGAATGATATTTACAACCAAGGAATATGAGGAAATACTTGTAGATGTTGAGAATGGGGGTAGGGGATGTGACAGTGTGCGACTGGGGGTGGGGTGAGGGTAACAGTGCGTGTTGCAGTTGGGCAGTGGATAAGATGTGAGAATTTCAGTAGCAATCAGAAAGTTGAACTACCACTTTCATGTCTCAGCATGCCAAATTTCTAAGTCATACCCCGGGGAAGGGGAGATGGAGGTCATTTTGAAATGACGTCATATTTTAATCAAGCAATAGTAATTATTTACGCATGTGGTTTCTTTAAACTATTGCCTGTCTCTTATACACATCTAGATGTGTATAAGAGACAGTTAATAAGTTTTTTATTTTAAAAAGGTCGCAGGCCGACTGTAATGAGTTCTAAGTCCTTATTACATAGGCGTTCTTTCAGAGACCAGTTTGTACACCTGTCTCTTATACACATCTTCTCAGCCAATCACGTTCAATATTTTATGGCCTTAGAAACCAATGTTTACATTACAGAGGCTGTTTTCTATTGGATAAAACAAGCTCAAATTCACCTTATTAGCAAAGATTGACCAATCAGAGTATTTTATATATTTCTATTAATGATTTTAACACGATTTAGGTCACAGTTCAGGCTTGCATAGCGAAATATGGCGCATAGAAGAGCGGTCTGTTTTGATCGATTTTGCTCGCGTTTACTGCCAGTTTTCATCCAGTTTCTATGGAGTGTCCTCAAAAAATGGCATTATTTTGTGCTTTATAGTAGGAATATTAGGTCCAAACTTAGTAAATAGTGAAATCAAAGGTATTACTTTATTATTCTACCAAAAACTCATTTTCCAAAAAATACACGTATTTCGACCTATTCCAGCTTAATAGGCATTTTTCTCATTACACGACGGTGCGACTTTACAGCCCAACCGTCGTAGCAGGTCACAATTGTTATTAAATATATGTGTGTGTTGTGTGTTTTGTATGCGTATAACAATCAATGTATTAACAAAACTATTATTTTTCAGCTTCTTACTTGTAAAACCAGGCTTAAAGCCTAGATTACAGAGTAGCCAGTACGCAAAGATTTCAAATTCTCTCACATTAGAGTATTCGTATATGCAATTTTACATTTTGGTTTGGTGACAATAACATGTTTAATATTTTAAAATAATTAATCATAAATAGCTAGCGAAGATACCTGTTATGCCAATAAATACATAGATGTACATCCAGGACCTCCATCGGACCGCAGCTCGGTTCCCCATTCCCAGCTAAACTAGATTCAAGTTCATAACCAATCTCACACTTAGCTTTGGTATACGGTACGTTTAATAAGGAAATATAAACAAAAGGCATTTGGCTTTCAATTTGTATATACCGAGAACTTCAAATACTTTGTCAGAATGCAGTGTTTCCTGATTGTATCATTGCAAGTGATTTTGATAAAGGCTCTTGTTTGTCTAGCTTGATTATGTACATTTACACATTTACACTGAACATCAAATCATGTCACTGCAGTTCTCATTTTCATGGTGTTTTTTTTTTTTTTTTTTTTTTT